ATACACACAGACAGGGTCGTCCTAATATGCGTTTTTGCAATTTGCATATAGGCAAAAACGCATAATTATTGTATTTTACAAACTGCAGTAAGAATATTGAAATTTTATCAAACTTTTCTGACTCAGAAGTCCATTTTTAGCAAAACACAGGTTGGACAAAGCGAGTAAAATAATATTTTGGAGGCAGGAATTATAAAAAATATAGAAATGCCAAGATAAAGCTAATGGCCGGTGGCTGGTGGACAGGAGTGAAACAGAACTTTTCATAATACCATCAGCAACACTCAGCCATCCCCTTTTATTCTGACCATAGCTATAACAATTTTTTGTCCACCCTGAACGTTGCATTTGGAAAGCTGCAGGGTGCACAAGTTGAGTGCATTCTCCGCTTCCATTATCACCGGTTTCGCGCGAGCAAATCGGCACGATAGGGTAATGCAGTCTTTCATTTGGCATTGATTTGATTATGTTTCTAGCTACTTCTTCGTTTTTGCAATTTTTGCTTTAAGTGGCTAAAATTAGCCCCCTCTGGTCATTTTTCAGATTTTCGCTGTACATTTCTATCTGGATTCGTAAAAAATGAAAACCAAATAAAAATATATATCTGGATTTGAAAAGTGTTCCACAAATGTTTTTTATTTGTTGTTATTGGCCGTCGAAAATGATGTAAAGGTTGAGGACATGCAATTCAGAATCGTAGGGCCTGCAACGTGGCAGTGCGGATTTTGGCCGCAATCTCAGTAACATGAATAACATCTCGATTCTCCACACTGATGGTCATAGTGTTGCAGTAAATAATTTCACAACTTTTTGACCTTCGATCCAAAAATGGGAGGTGTCGAAACAACAGCCTTTTCTGTAAATGTGAGGCGTTCCTCATCTGCGTAACGCCAATTGGTAAAAATGCAGTCTGGTTGCTCAGACGGTAAAAATTTAAATAGCTGCAAATCAGCTAACGGGCGCCCCGCACAACTTCGTAGAGATACTCCAAATTGTCACGTAATTTTTTTTTTTTTTTACTTTTTATGGCATATTTTCAAAATTTTCAGAATTGCTTGAGAAGAAAATCGAATGAGGGTGACCCAGCAATTAATGACCAGTAGCTGTTGATGACCAAAATTAGCATAGTGCTCAGCAATTCAACATTTTGTTAAAAAAATGTTTTACCGCGATAGATTCCGATTACGGATACTCCATCTCACCGATAACTGAGCCGGGTGCCTAAGCAGGCTATTAAATTTTACCCCTTCAATTCGTCTTATAAGCGTTGTTCGATTTTTTATCATCTTTCCGAATAAGAAATTGTTTTAGGAATGTTAGTTTTCATAGCACTGACAACATTTGTGCTTCTTCTGATAGCACGATACTCACGGATTAAGAGAAAAGTTCTGGAGCAATGGCGGTTTATCAAGCTTATCAATCAGTTGCCCGGGCCAAGCCTGCCAGAAATGATCACTGAATTATTTCTCTTTAAACTAGATGGTGAACGTGAGTAAACTAATTTTTCATTATAGGCTATCATTCATTTACACTTCTATGGACAAAAGTGCCTAATACTTTTCTAAAAACCATACTACTTAAAGACTGCTCATTTTTGCTGTTTTGACTAGATTTTGTTGCAGAATTTACTTATCAGATCGAAGCCCTCTTTCGAAAATATGCGTACAAAAGTGAGTACGGCATGATGTGCTGCTGGTTTGGCTTTAAACCAATATTATTCCTCACGCGGTCAAAGAGCGTTAAAGTTTGCTAACTTTCATTCTACTTCAAAGTCTTGTCTTGCAAACATTTTTGAGCTCATGCACAATTATCATGTGGCAATTTTTTCAAATTTTTATAATTTGGTGGCTCGCATGCGTAGTGCAGAAGACCAGCACTGACTGATGGGCATGCACCTCAGCAGGATAAGGTCTGAAAGGTGCGTAAGATGTATGAATGCATTCCTTACATCATTAACATCAGAGTTCCACAGTGACTGTGTAAACAATCTCAGAATTCTTAGAAATTTGCTTTCTGAGGTAATAACGCTTCCAGACCTCAGTAGTAACGATCTACTTCATTTAGAGTGAGAAAATCTGATTCAGGACGTAATATCTGCGATTCAGACTGTTAACACTGAAAAAATTTAGCAGGATCTGGAATTGTTAATCTACGAACTTGTCATTTCCCCAT